GGCGGCGCGCAATAATAGCGCGCGCGTCTTGGACGCCCTGCCCAGAATGCTTGACGGCGCCCAAGGCGGCCCCACCCTCCGCGCGCGGCGCCTGACGGCCGGACACTTACACCAGAAGACGCGACAAAAGTCTTGTCGTGAGGCCATTCCGTCCAGCTGCTTGGCGGTGACTCCCGATGACGGTTTCCGCCTGCTTGCGCGGGGGTGCTCCGCCGCCGCCGCTGCTGCGGCCCGGCGGCCTGGCCGCCGGCTTGGCGCCTCGGCCGGCCCGCCGCCCAGCCCAGCAGCGCCGCCACCAGCGCCACGAGCCACAGGCGCGCCATTGCTGCCCTTCGCTCCGCTTCCTCTCCGCTTGCGCTTGCGCCGCGCCGCCGCTCCTGCTCCTGCTCCGCACTCGGCCGCCGCTCGCTGCGTCTCTCGCCGCGCCCCCCGCGCCGCGCGCGCGCGCCGCCCGCAGCCTTCCGCCCCGCCGCGCGCCGCGCCCGTCGCGCCCCGCAGCGCCCTCTGCGCGCCGGCCGCCCGACCGGCGCGCCCTCTGCCTCGCGGCGACGCACGTGCGCTCTGACACATGCGTGCACATGCGACTCTCTGCCTTCAACTAGTTGCAATGCGCTTGAAATAACAAACGGCAAAACAAGTGGAATTACCTCTCATACATTAAGCCTTTATCAAAGATATTCGGTCGCAATTACAAGACGTCTCTTACGAGAATCTACACATTGCCGAATGTAACAAACGCCGAATCATATTTCCCGCAAAGTTCATACACATCTAGAACACTAAGCGATTTCTAATTCTTGCTGTTTAATCTACAATAATTCTTGTCTTGTGAAGGAATATTATGTAGACCTTTCAACGAATCATCATACAATATTCTCTCTACGGCAAAAAACAAAACGCAAGAAAAAATTGCACATTATTTCAAAGCAAATTCAATTTCAGACTAATCCTATTATAACAATGTAAAAGAATCCAAACAATATGTTTTATTCAGTTTTCTTTTCAATTAATATGGTTTATCTCCCATTCCCAAGTAACTGTACAAGTACAGTGGAAGCAAAATAATAAGAAGTCGTTACAAATCCATGAAATTCCTTACAGTCATTAAATATCGTCGAAATCAAATTAATCAAGACTAGATTTATTTGATAGATAAAATTGATCGTTACGCTACTAAAAGCAAATAAATAATACCAAATATAATCACCGACCCTGATGTAATCGGTGTATTTGTCACGTATGATTCAGAGGAGCATTTCTTGTTGGGATAAATGTTCATCAAAAACTCTTACGCATATAGCACATTTCATTGTGCTCAGTGAATATTTATTTTTATATTTCTTCGAAGAATTATTAAAGTGACCTAAGCTTAAGAATTAATTAATTATTCGTAGAGAAAGTGATTTCCTGTAGAGGAAGTCCCGTTTTAGGTCATATTTTACATTTGAGTACATGTGTAATTAACAATGCAAATATGTCAAAATATTTCATGCCAATTGTTTCATTGGTAAATAAAAGCAAAGAGGAAAAGTCGATTACGATATTAATAAATTTTAATTATAACAACTTAAAGTTTATTAGTAACATGGAACAATTAGGAGCATTGAGTTACACCTGAGTCCATGGCACTGGCCGTCAGTGCCTTCTCCTTTGGAGAGGTGCAGGTGCATTCTTGCGGACGAAGCCGTCGCGGGGCAACAGCAATCCCGATTCTCGTCGCGGAGCGCCTCGCCCCCGCCCCGCCTCTGCCGACGCGATGGCTCGCAAGCGACTCCGCCGCGGCCCGTCGCCCTCCGACGCCCGCCACGCGCCCACGCAGCGCCGCGCGCGCGCCGCGCCCTCGGTACCTCCCCTCGCACTCGCTTCCCAACGCATTCTGCTCTCTGTTCATGGCAAATGCCCTCTAGATTGCCTTTGCTTCACTTGTGAATACATTCAGTCTTTCAGATTACTCTATCCACCTGCTTTCTGTCCACAGGAAAGATCATCTATGTTTCGATCCATTACATATGAATAGATTATGTCTTTTACTCTTTTACTTTATTAATCTAATTTTTATCCACGGGGAACAGTTTCTAGGTTTTGAATCAGTATTTTCTTTTTCGTGATATTGCATTTGCCGTCAGCGTATGGCATGGAATCCGTGCTTGTACATCCATTTGAAACTTACCTTCGCATTTAGATCAAGACTTTGAGTTAGGGGTTTAAAATTTGGGGAAATTCCGAAGAGAAAGTGTGAAGTCATGAAAGAAAGATCGTTACTGAAGGTTGCAAATTTATTGTGTAGGTTTCAATACAAATTTTGCTCTATTGGATAATTCATTTTAAATCTTACAACATTTTAATTACAAGGCGTGGAATATGTAGAGCAAACATCAGCGCTTATGTGTCGGTTGAAAGTCTACAGACATCATTTGCACTATATTTGGAATTGTATAAATCGTTGGTAAATTCACTCTAAGAGGAGGGTTTTCCCGTTCTGTTGCCTCGATTTATTTCATTTTGAATTATTAACTTATTTGGATTTACTGGAAATAATACATCTGCAAGTTATTTTTCTTTCACTGTGTTAAGAGTGGAAACAGAAAAGACAGGGTGTCTTCACTTCTTTTTATCACAGACGTTTCCATTTCATCTTTACCTCGATGTAAATTTGAAAAGTTTAGATATAGAGATGTAAAGAGAAAACATCAATCTATACTGTAATAAATTTACTTGTTTTTAATGACTTTATGACATAATGTCCCGTTGTATCTATCAAATACGTAGAATCACACACATCGTCATAATCAGGTATTAACTTCAGATTCACAACTTATGGCTGTGCCTATTCAGATCCCGGAGTCATTTTGACTCCCTTGTGAATCGCGGTCACAAATGTTGAATTTAAACTAAATATAACAATAAATATACTTATTGTAAAACAATGAAGTCGCTATTTATACCATTCGAAAGCGTTTGAATTATTATTATACGCAGTTTAAGAGTAATGTATTCCACATAATACTGAGTCTGACAACATTTCGTCTTCATTGAATTGAATTGATGCCTTATTTACGTAGCAAAACTCAAGCCATGAGTCCTGCTCTTTCGTCTGACCAAACCACCTTAATTCAACACCATCATCACTATCTTCATCACCTTCATTCAAAGCAGAAAAATCATCGTCTTCCAATAAATTGCAAAATTTTGCCTTCAGTTAAGACCTCATCTACAAACAGAGGCATCAAATAGATAACACTATAAACGAGTCTATTAACGCGGATTCACGCCCAGATTCACATATAAACGCCGGTGTGAGATAGTCTGTAACAAGCAAAAATGCAGTTGTCATCAATAACGCAAATTCATAACCGCCAAACGTTTACGCAATAATGTGCAATTTACATATAAGGGAAGCAGATGTTGAATTGACTCCCGGATGTAAATGTAGGTTTAATGTCGGTATTGCCATTATTAATTGAGCGATGTCTTCCTGCTCTTTGACAACCTGATGCATCTGCATCAGGCTTCTCTCGCCTGGACGGCTGGCTTTCGAAGACATCGCTGCCGGTTGACCAAGGGCTCCCCTGCGGAGACACAATTAGAGATGGGAGAAAAGGCGGCGCGCTCTTCCTGCCGTTGGCAGAGCCAACTCCTCACACCTTAGGGAAGGGATGGACTTTTAGGTGATACAGGACGATTTGCAAAAGCCCCGGCCATGCCACAACACAGAAGCTCTCATCCATGTCCAAACGGCGATGACAACTCGAGGCCATTCGCGTCAAGGCTTCCAACCCGCCTTCGCCATTTCGAGTACCAATATACTCGTAGATTCAAAAACGTTGGATCATTGTTCGTTGCTGACTGGATTACACTGAAAACGAAAAATATTGTTAATCATTTATTGAATGCTCTTTACAGTATTTACTCGAGAGGGGAAGTTGGTGTAGAGTTAATACTATTTTAAACACAATATTTTTCTGGTTGGAATCTTGAATTTGTTTTGCAGCAATAATCTCACGTTATACATACTGAAAGAAAGAAATTATAAATAATAACTGCTGAAATAATTGTATATGTTTGTATTTGTCTCAATAGGATGCTATATTAACGATTAACGTTAACACTTCCTAAGTGTGTTTAGTAATATATAATTTTTGAGCCATTGATATTTTGAATCATTCAACTGTGAAAACAAACTTACAATGCCCAGTATTGCTTTCCATGTATTAAGGGAGAAACGTCTCCTGTGTCAGACCGGCTTACACCCTTCAATCGTTCTGGTCCATTGATGAAACTAAACAGGATTTTAGTGTTTCATCCCCCGTGTGAGTACCGACACCGGCTCCTTTTAACTGAAATACAATGGCGAACTATATAGTGTATTCCTCTTTGGAAGAAGTACCTTGTCTTGGAAGCACACACTGCCGTTGTCACCGACCAGCCCAGGGCTGTAGCGCGGGCTGTAGCGCGGGCTGTAGCGCGGGCTGTAGCGCTGAGTGGCAGCGGCGCGGGTGGCGCGGCGCAGGCGCACATCCTGCAGCTGCCGCCGGAGGTGCTGGCGCACGTGTTCGGCTTCCTGCCGTTCGCGGCGGCGGCGGAGACGCTGCGCCTGGTGTGCCGGCGCTTCCGCGGCGCCGCCGAGCTGGCTGGCGCTCAACGCCGGCCGCTGCCGCCGGCACTCTCCCGCGCGCCTGGCGGAGCGCGCGCGCCGCCTTGCGCCCGCCGCCCCTGGCCGGGGCTCGCCCTCGGCCCCCCGCCGCGGCCCCCGCCCCGGCCCCCGCCGCGCGCCGCGCGCGCCTGCTCCTCTGCCGCGCCTACACCGCCGTCTGCGCCGCGCGCGCGCAGCTCGACCTCCTGCACGCCGCCACCTGGAGGTGCTCCGCTTCACAATTAATAATAACAGTAACATCTACATGCATGTAATGGTATACACCTTGTGACAACATGAAATAACATACAATAACATTTGTTACAAAATTGTATTAATGATATCTGCGGCCTAGATCAAGAAGATATTCGTGCTATTATCCAAGATATGGGTGGCCAGAGGATTATCATGCTTTTCCAATCTGTTCCGGTATTAAACAGATTTGGCCGTGGTTTCTTCTTTAACGGTGGTGATATGAGGATGTTTATGTAGTGTGGAATTGAACACAAACCAGGGTGCTTTACTTGATAATATGAGACTTTTAGATTGAAATCTTTGATGGCTACTCCTTAGAGTTCAATGACGTACGTTCATATAAATTTCACTATTCATCACCTATAGTATTCCTTTATTTTATAAACTTCTTGCCATTAACAACGACAATTTTCTATACTTTAGTTCTCCTTCTGTCCACTTCTTAAGGATACAGGAAGATGACTTGTGATCCAATAATTTTGCAACGAAAGAGTGCTATTTTCAATTCTATACTGACGTCTTATCTTCATTCAATCACACCTATAAACTTAATTTTGCGAGATTTTGTAATAAAATAACGTAAATGGAGAACCTTATAATAACTTAATGCAAATGTACATTTTTGAAGTATTTTATTTATTACAGCTGAAGTGCGTCAGCGAAGTGTGTGCAATATCTCTCTTGCAGTGATATATGTTAAGCTCTCTGTAGCTAAATGAGAATTTCAAGTCAATTAGGAGGGAGCTTAGCTCGCCGTTCAGGTCCATCTTTGGCCGGGCGAGCGACCGCTGACCTAGTAACGCAAGTGCAGAGCAGCGATCTCTTTATCAGACGCGAGACGTTTGCTCGGCTTGTAGCTGAGCTGGGAGACGTGACGCATAAAGTAACCCATTCAGAGGCTGCGGGCAACGCAATGCCTATTCATAACTAAACCTGTCGCAACATCAATGGCAACACGAACACAAGAGGGCGCCCTATTACTTAGTAATTCGGCCCGTGATTTCGACGTTAACTATGGCTGTTATTTACAAACACTGAATGATGATGTCCCTTATTCCATGGCCTAGAGGCCGCTGGTCGGCAAAGGCCCGTGTCTGGCTGTTGAGCCAAAGGTCAGAAATTTTGATGAAGTTTTCGTAATTTGTTGTAAATTCGTTATGTGAAACTCAATGGGCGATTAGCGTACTACTTTTTAAACAGATTCATTACCTACAAAAGTTCAGTGTGTAGTATTTAAAAAATATTTCCAAACGCCAATTCGGATCCAGTAGCTACCATGGAAAGTTTTGGAGGTTATGAAAAACCTGACTCGTTAGTGCAGCTACACATGTTCTATTTCATGGACGAGTTTGACGTACTTCAAATCTAAAAACCTAACAGTTAATGTTACATTATGCATTATGTAATGCACAAATTGTTAAGATGTTTTCAATTATAAATATTGTGTTTTTAATTTTTAAATACAAAAGGGGTAACATAATCTTCGATTCTACTCCTCAACATTAGAAGTCACATGCTCCGCGTTCTGCAAGTTAGAAACAAACGGGTAGCCTCCAAATCTTATTTCTCAAAAGTACAAGTTAGATGTTTTCAACTTAAAAATACAATTGAATTAGCACGAACTACTTTGATTGTATTATAACTTAATCAATAGAGTTTTATAGCGTTGTATATCTAAGAATAAACTGTTGTAAAGAACTAAGTTATTTGTGAGGGATTTTTTTCTATTGGAATTGTGCTTACATTACGCTTTGAAGAACAAAGTGATCAGGGTCTTCATTCCATGCCCTAGCCGAATTGTATTCATCAATAAATATATACTATTTAAATGTTCGAAAAGAAAACGAAACTTTTTACATGTTCGAAAGGTTTTTGAGAGAGCAAAGCAAGAGAGAGTCTGGTCAGTTTTTGAAAAAAAAAATCATTTGGATTGAATAATACAAAGATCCGGGTTAAAACCCTTTACATTTGTTATGATTGCTAAAATCACTTGTAACTAATTTACAATAACTTACTAATAATCTTAAAATACACCTTACCGTAAGGTATCTGTATAACTTCCCTTTGGGTCGAGATGTGCGAATTTGTCGAGGACTGTATGAAAGGAGAAATTGCGAAGCGAAGTGGGTGGATAACAGGTACACGCGCTCGCTGCGGCCGGGCGAGGCGCCGGCGGCGTGCTTCTACGGCGGGCGCGTGCTGGACGACGCGTGGCGCCTGCTGGCGCTGGCGGCGCGCGCGCCCGAGGCGCTGGGCGCCGCCTTCTTCCGGCGCGACAGCTCGCTCTCCGCCGCCCACGCCCCCGCCGCCCCCGCCCCCGACGGCTGCGACCGCTGGCGCCTGCTCGACGACGCCAAGCGCTTCATCAACCACTTCGAGCGAGTGCGTCCCCCCCCCAACAAGTAACATAATGGATACATTTTCTATATTTATTCGCAATCTCAAATCAATGTCCTTCATAAAGGAGGTCATTCCAACAGGTTCCAAGGCACATTGTAACCTTCTGAAATGACGAACTCGAGCAGGCAAACATCTTCATTGACGACGTGGATCCGATGAAACGTCAGCGGTAATCGTCCAGGCACATTTCTTAGATAAACCTCTTTTTGTATTAGCCAACTGCACATCCCATTAAGGGCAAGGGCCTTCCTTTTGAACAGGGAATTATTAATCCTCCTTTAACGAATGATAGGATGATGGTGAGGGATGAAAGGATCATCACGAATGCATTCATGCTCGAGGCGGGATTCGAAACCGACATCGCCCCGACACTGCTGCGTTTGCGGTCTCTGCTACCCAATTGGCACACCTGTGTTAGAGGATCTTTATGATGACTTCTCAATTTGGATCCCTAATGGTATCAAAAGCAGAATGTGGGGCAATATTACTGTATATTCGTTGCTGTACGTTCGTTGCGACGCTAAGTTAGATTATGCGCAACAGTGATCCGGAGTTGAGTATTTTGCGGGATGATTATTTGTTTTAGATACCAATAAATGAAGTTCACGCTGCTCTGAAATTTAGTTAAGGTGTCTCCTAATTCACGAATGAGAAAATAACCATGATGTGAAAGGAAGTGTGCAAATACCAGATATTGAATGATTTTGTATAAGATTTGAGGGCACAGGTGAAAAGAGTTTCCGATATCATCTTAATTCACTGCAAATTAAAATGTGTTTTGAAACAAAACATACTTTTTCTCATTTTTAAATTTGCTAGTTTTGGAAATTCGGTGTTCAAAAATGAGACCTGATCCATTCTTTTAAGTGTTACTTTTTCTATCCGTGGAAAAAATGAAGAAATGTTATTAGCAGTTTTTGAGAAAATGTTCATCTTTGTAAATCGCATTAATTTAACGCGCAAATTTCGCGAAAACTACTCGTTTAAAAAGATTTATACATATCCTCTTCCCATATATTCAAAAAGTTCGCTCTCAACCGCCGAGCGGAACGGACGTG